GGGGTGCTGGAGGGGAAACGGATGAGGGGGTGCTGCTTATCACCGTGAGGGGTTTCAGAGCTGCTGCCCAGGGGGTTAGGGTGCCCGGAGTTCCCCAGGATTCCCAGCTACTGGGCTAAGTGTCCTGGGACACTCCTGTCCAGCTGTGGGGTCCCTGTCCCTTTAAGACTTTCAAAAAGCACTTGCTTTTCTTTGCCTCTGGGGTGCCGGCTGAGGGGACCCGCTCACAGGTATTACTGTCCTGTTTCCCTAGTATTCAGCACCCCACGCCTGGGTGCAGATGGCTAGGGCTGGCTATTTAGCAGTCCTGGGCTCCCTCTCCCTCCCTGCTCCGACTCCTCTCCTCCCGCCGGGAGCTGGGGTGAGGGGTGCTCGGGTCCCGCCAGGCTGGGGCTTGTATCTTACCCCCTTTGCCAGGTGCTGGGTTCTCACGGGTGTGGATGTGGTGTGGCTGTTGTCCTATATCTTCTAGTCTCTCTTTTAGGGAAAGTTGTATTTGTTGTATTTTCAAAAATATGTATGTTTTTGGGAGGAGATTCCCACTGTCCTACTCACTCCGTCATCTTGGCTCCGCCTTTCTAGAATCTTAATTTCTTTAAGTGTAAAGAATACTTGCCTCATGGGATTATTACAAAGATTATCTAACATATGTAAAGCATTTAGCACAGTGTTGGCACATTGTAAGCACTTAATTAAACTAGGCATTTTAATTAACAGACTCACACCCTCAAGGAACTAATGTGGCAGAGAAGGTAGTCAATTTAGGGTCATCAGGACTTACATAGGAGAATAATGGGTACTGTTGGAACACACAGAAAGGTCACTTGGATGGGGACATCCAGGAATACTAATAAAGCTAGAAAAGTGGCAGCATTACTATATTAAATAGAGCAATTATGGATCTCTCCTTACTGTATGGTTTGAAAAATTTTCCAATATACTATGTATTTTAGACTACCAGTAATTTGTATGTATTACTACACATTAAGCTATATATGTAGATCAGCTGTGCCCAGAATAAGCAGAAATAAAATGATATTCTAATTTGGTAGGGTAGGTGGAACAAAGGATAACATACTTGGAATGGAGTAAAGAACAGAGGGGAATAAACTTATCCAAGGAAATGATTGGTCTTAACTCTATCTAGATCGCTTTTTGTCCTTTGTGAAACAGATAATACACCCTTTTCAGTAAAATCTAGTATTGGCTTGTAAAAGGTATTAGGTAAACGATGTTATTTTTAAAACATCTGTTTCAGAGGAGATACCTATTAAAAGTTACTCATGCTCCTAAAAGAGACTGTAGATTTTGAGTGAGAGTACATAAATTTTATTCAAAATGGTTTTATCCATTAGGGCCCAGTTAGGAGATAAAACAGAGAAAATTTAATAAAAATACAAGAGAGAATTGGAGTAATGAGGGATTGGCTAATTAAGAGAATTCTAAAGAATATGGGAATAACATAATATGTGTTTTTGTGTATGTATGTATGTAAAATACAGAGAAGCCACTCCCCCTAGGCTGGAGTCCCCCAAAGAGGCACTTCTTGAGGCTCCTGGGCTAAGATCTAGACATCACTTGGTGTCAAGAGTTCACTGGGCACCATGCGTGGGGGACTCACTGGAGTGGCTAGGGAAGCTGCCTGCAGAGGAGCTACTGTGTGCTGTTCCCCAAGCTCATTTCTGGAGCCTGATGAGAAGAGCACGCTGGAACGTGGAAGAGAAACGTCTCTCTCCCATATCCATTTAGCTCCCTGTACTGTTAAAACATTGTGCCACCTGGCAGAGGAGAGATTTATGGGGATCAGGTCCATTAACACAGAGCAATGAATGGTTGATTTGCAGCTGACAGGCAATAAATTGAAACTAGCACATATATTTAATACTTTAGATTAAAATACTAATTGTATAATTTTTCGTAGGCCCTTGAAATAGACCCATCAAATACCAAAGCACTGTACCGTAAAGCTCAAGGATGGCAAGGATTAAAAGAATATGATCAAGCATTGGTAAAATTTTGTTTTAAATTTTAATTTTTTAGAATAGACAACCATCTCCATAGATATACCCAGTTATTTCTTGTTTTTTCCAATTAAAGGCTGATCTTAAGAAAGCTCAGGAGATAGCACCTGAAGATAAAGGTAAGTTGGCAGTTTTTGTCCTTGAAGAATTTATCCTCATGAACCATTGTACCTTTTGCCACTTAAAATATTTATCTGTTCAATAGATATTACAGAATGCCTGAATGGGTCCGGCACTGATTATTCTTTAGTGAACAAGTCAAGGTCCCTGCTCTCAAAGAGCTTACACTCTAGTCTCTCTCAGAATACTAATTTTCATGTATCTGAATGCTGTTTGTTCTACCACATCATTTGATATCTGGTTCCTGTTACTGTAATTTTAGTGGAAAGGGCAGCACTAACAGGCACAGTATTTGTGGTGGATTTAATGTTTGGCACCATTCCTTAAACTGAGTGTGGCTTACATCTTCTAGCTACTGGGTGTATGTTTTTGGGAAACTGACAAAAATAAGCTTGTTTTTCAAATAAACCAACTATGAGTAGTGATAGTAGATCTGAATATTAAAATTCACATCTTTGGTCTCTTTTTGCTGAAGTAAAACAGTGGAGGCCCTTAACCACTCCCTGTAATGGAGAGGGAAAAGGCAAATCTCTGTCTAATTCTTTTATAGTTCTCTCAGATTGAGTCTTCTAAATTTAGGCTTCATGATTTTTGTTATTTGTGTGACTGCTTTCTTAGAGTGAACTATTCTGTTAATAGAGCTCAGTTACTTTATGGGGAAGAATTTTCTCAAGGGGCTTTATCATATGAAAATATGTTTGTTGGCCAACTGATTTTTTGGGTGTTTGGAGAAATAACTCATATTATGTATTTATTTTGCAGCTATCCAAGCAGAATTACTGAAAGTCAAACAAAAGATAAAGGCACAGAAAGATAAAGAGAAGGCAGCATATGCAAAAATGTTTGCCTAATAATGAATTCAGTTTTGCTTCAATACTATGCATTGATTGTATAAGAACAATAAGGAAATGTATGGGATTTTATCTGTTATATATGATCCCTAATGTGTTTCCTTTGATACTTAAGTTCCCCATTGTTTACAGTTTAGGAATACTGACATGGTTTCCCTCTTAATAAAACAGTGTTATAAAATAACAGTGAAGTAGGTTTTTTTAAAAATGGTTATCTGTAATTGACAAAGAATAATGGTGTCCAGTCTATTTTAAACTTCTAGAGACACATCTTGTTGAATAAACAGGTGAAAACTTAAGTTTTATATTGTTTCCCTCAATTCATTGGTAATCTCTCTGTAGCTGGTTTATGCTGATATTTTATACTCACAAATAATACAGGTATACATATTCAGGGCTCTAAAGAGCCAGAGTAAATATTTTAGGCTTTGTGGACCAGTATAGTCTGTCACAACTACTCAGTTATGCAGTTGTAGCTCAGAAGTAGCCATAGACAACAGGTAAACCTATGTGGACAGCTGTGGTCCAGTAAAACTACTCAGAAGAAAAGTAGTGGGCTTGATGCCAACCTCTAGAATATACATTTACTTTTATACTTGGTCTTGAATTTGATCAGTCAAATGTACATTAAAGGCCAGCAGTGTATTTTGCTGTTGGTACTGAATCTTTGAGAAATTGGAGAGCTAAGTAGGTGCTACATCACTTAAAAAATTTTAAGAGAAATACTCAATTTTTAATGGGACAATTTTAGGTATAAGTATAAAATTTTTATTTCACTGATAATTATTTTATGAACATTCAGATCAGTAATATGCTTTAAGGCATTTTGACACTTGTTAACTTCTAAATATTTAAAAGTTAGCTTGTAACTTTAAACTGCCTGTAAAATGTGCCTGCAAATGTTATCAGTTGCAGTTTACATTCCATTGTAAGCAGGTCCTCCACCACCTTCAGGTACCACCCAGTTAATATTCTGACTTGGATCTTTAATATCACATGTTTTACAATGCACACAGTTCTGAGCATTTATCTGTAACCGAAATCCATCACCTTGTTCCAAAGGTACAAACTCATAAACTCCTGTAAAGAAAAACAGAATATTGTGAAGTACCTTTTTTTAACTTTTAAAATTAAAAAATAGGTATTGAAGTCCTGAAAACAGTAGCTGCTACGGAAACCTTGAATGTTTTGTTTTCTGACTTCACCCACAGAGAATATTATGAATATCTCTGTGTGTGCTATTAGTAGTAAAAATTAAATGTAGATAACAGCAGAAGGTGTAGCAGTATTTGGCTAAGTTAGTCTTACTGAACAAGGTGACTCATCATTTAGCAGTTTCTGAGTCCCAGTTTTATATATATGTGTAGTATAGTTGAAAAGACAATTGAGATTCAATCCTTACTCTGCTTCTGATGACAGAAATGATTAAAAAATAAGACAGTTAAGGTCCCTGCCTTCAAAGAGCTTGTCCCTCTCCAGAATGTACTAATTTTCACATACAGATTATTATTCTACCGTATCATTTGAGGTCCACTTCCAAGTAGTGTAGTTGTAGTTGAAAGCTCAGCACTAAGAGTATTAATGATGAATTTAAAGTTTGGAGCCATTTCCTTGAGCTGAATATGGCTATAACCTAGTATTTTACTAGATATATACCATATGTACATGTGTGGGTGTATAGAAGCAGCAATGACAGAAATGATTTCTTAAAAAAGACTTAAATGTGGAAGGAAGTTACATATTTTTGAGTTACATATTTTGGTGTTACATATTTCTTATCTTGGTCTGAGGGTAGACAAGGAAAAGCTTTTTCTGAGGAATGTCAACTGAATTACACTTAAAAAATCCCTATTAACACTGCTAGTTAGAATAGGAACCATGATGTTTTCTAAAGGAAACTGGATATAAGGCTCACAGTTGCTATGCAACGGAGAATTTCTCAGTATAATGGAAGCGTATTTATAACATGGTTAAAGTGAGTATTTGTATTTTAGGAATGGAAAGAAATTACATTACTGACCTGCAGGGCAGAATCGCTGCTCAGGCCCATCATATATTGACAGATTTCTGTTAACAGGTATACTGTCATCCTCTAAGGTTAAGTGTGCCGGTTGGTCATGTTCGTGATTAGTACCACTCAGAGCCACAGATGACAGAAGGTCAAAGCTGATCTGCCCATCAGGTTTTGGATACTCAATAGGTGTGCAATCCTTGGCTGGCTTGAGCTGATCAGAGTCAAAGCCTTCAAAAGTTTTGAGGAAGATTTTAAAATATAACAATTTTAAGGTACTTTTAAAAATTTTTTATAAAAACTTGAAAATATCCCAAAGAATATACTTTAGCCCTCTAATAACAACGACACACTGTTCTCTTAAAGATACTGAATTTTATCATTTCTCTAATAAAGCAAGTTTAAAACAACGTAAAAAAAAAGTACTTTTCCACTAAATGGATCCCATCCCATTCATGCATTTTTAATTATAACATTCATATTCTCAAATATGATGGAATTACCTTTATGTTTTAGAGTCCATGGCTCCATTCCTCTAAATATCCAGTAAAATATTCCTGTATAAATCATCCCTCCGTATACACCCAGTATTCCATGACAGGATGGTCTTATATTTCTCACATAATACAGCTCTTTCCACACCCATGATTTCTTCAAATTCTCCTCATACTCAGTTACATAGAGTCCTTTTATTAAAAACATGAAATGTTAAGTGTGAAATTGCTTCAAGGAGCATAAAATACTTCATGCCCTCTAAGAGGTGTTTTGCTACTGAAATATCTGATGGGTGATACAAGACCACACTTGAGTCTTTCATGTATAAAAATGCAAGCATCCTCCAGAAAGTCACGTTAACAGGCAATAAGACATTTTACTTCCTATACTAGTAGCATGGAAAATCAGTTTCAAAATTCAGTGAACCTGAAAGGAAGTTTTAAGATAACAAGTTATAATGTTACCTATAAAACAGTGAATAATTTAGAATTCATCAATGAAGCTTCTACCTGTTAAGGGTTGAATTGTGTTCCTCCGTGAAAATATTTCTTGTTCTAATTCTCAGAAGGGTCAGAATAGGGCAGTTGCAGATGTTAGTTAAGATGAGGTCATACTGGAGTAGTGGGAATGGGTCCTTAATCCAGTGACTGGTGTCCCTACAGGATGAGATGATACAGACTATACAGAAAAAGGACTGAGGAAGACTGAGGCAGATAAGGTATTCTGCTAAAGTCAAGGAATGTCTGCGGCTGTCTGAACTGGGAGAGGCAAGAAACGATTAACCCCCTAGAGACTTAAGAGAGTATGGTCCTGCTAACACATGAACTCCTGCTAGCCTGTAGGACTTGGAATAAATTCCTGTTGCTTTAAGCCACCCACTTCGTTGCGGCAGCCTTAGCAAACTGTAACACTCAAGACCTGGTGCAGGCATTTAGTGTTAAAGGGAACAAACTGGTTTTTCTAGTTAACTTTTGTGAACGTCCTGGTGACTATACTCTTCCTACACATTGTTTACTTTTCTGGCTCTAATTACTTTTCCTTCAGGCTTTAATCTGCAATCTGGTCTTTGGTGATCTACTTGCTCCATTCTATGTGTTGTGCTGTGTATACATGATGAGGAAAATATGAATAATATCCAACAAGGAAAGATACTTAAGAAAAGGAGAAAAAAAGTTCCACTATACAACATAATACTCCATCTTGCCTAGTTGGCTCTCCCTGAAGTTCCCTCTTGCCTTTTCTATGTTCTACTTATCTCCTCCTCTCCTACACCCTTGGCCTCTATTTCTACAAAGATATTTGAGGGCAAAGTCAGGTTGCATACTTCTAAATGGAGGGACATTTGTTACCTGGAATTCTAAAGATGAGGTTAATTTCTCAAATATCTGGAGTTGCTACTGTGTGCAAGGTGTTTGAATTTCATGGTGAGCAAAGTGTCTGCCCTCTAAGAGGCAGGAAGCAAAGATAATAAATTGTACAGTGTGCCAAAATGTGGAAAATACTGTTGAAAAAAACTCTTTGGGAGTGGGGTGGGGTGGGAATGTTCTGTGTGGGTGTTACAAAGTAACTGATAGAGTCAATGTCAGGTCACTGTGAGAGTCATAGTTGAGCAAGGGTGAAGGAGTGAGGGAGTTGGCCATGAGCAAAGACTGAAAAGAGCACACTGGGCCTGTTTCAGGAAAGGTGAAGCCAGTGTGGCTGGAATGGAGAGTAAAAAGAGATGAAGGAGTGTAAGGAGTGAGGGAATGTTTTGCCTGAGGGTTTCAGCCCCAGGCAAGTTCACTGTAGATTCAGTGAGACCGAGAAATGGCAATGGAACATTCTTGGGGTAAAAGGGTTTACACCCGGCTTTATTCTCAGAGTGGTAGGTCAAGCACAAGAATCATGCTTGCATCTAGCCATCTGCGGGTCCATAATCCTCCTGTCTCTGCCTCCACCCAGAGCACTGGGTGGAGCTCTTGATACGGTGATTCAGTCAATAATAGCTCATTGCCTACGGGTATGGAAGCATTAGCCTAGCAGTAGGCCAATTACATCATCAAGTAGTTTAGGGTCAGGTTAGGATCCTGGCCACAGGGACTTCCATTTTCCCCAAACATGTACATAATGTAATGTACTGTTGAACCTGAAGTTACGTCTCAAGAGGCAGGACACCCCTGGTACTATTCTACTTTTGATGTGAGTGAAACAAAACATTGCTTTATCTATCTAACAGAGTTGTCATGTAGTTTTCTTTGTACAGCACACATTTTAATCCTCTGTGTTGTGGGGAAGTTGGGGTTCCTATGGCCAGGATCCTCACTGAATTTAAACCACTTGATGATGTAACTGGCCTGCTGCTAGGCTACTGCTTCCACAACTGTAGGCAATAAGCTATTATTGCACTATATATATAGAGAGAGAGAGCGAGAGAGGGAGAGAGCTCTGGGTGGAGGTAGAGATGCTAGTGCTTGACCTTACTGCCGGGAGAACAAGCCGGGTAATAAACCCTTTTGCCCCAAGAACATTCTACTGCCTTTTCTTAGGTCACACTGAATCCAAGCTAACTTTCTGGGGGCTGAAACCCACTGTAAAGACAATTGGCCACAATTGGCAGGGTTCACGTTGACCAAAGGAAAAGACAGGCTGTCTTTATGGGAAGGGTGCTCCAGCGGGCTGCCCCTGTGAATGGGGAGACAGTGGATTGTCCCCCAATGGGTATGTGGTCTGAGGTGGCCTGCCTCCTAGAGGACTGGGCCCCACCCCAGGACTGGAGGCAAGTGGAGGTGACACCTGAGGCAGTAGGAGTAGCCCTTGGTATAGTAAGTAGGTCTTTTGAGAGACATGCCTGTGAGGCAGCGGCAATGGTGGGTTGGCTGCTTCTCACATTACTAAAAAGTCTACAGATTGGAAGGACACACTCCTGAAAAAGACACAAGAAATAGTGGCACAAGAACGTGAGCTGCAAACTGCTGTGGATTCACTGAAGGATGAAATGGCATTGATGTGAGAGAAGGCAGCACAAGAACACAGGCAGCGAGGTGCCATTGAAGAGGTAAAATATTCCTTACAGAATGAGAGGGCAGCGCTGCCAGGTGCTCTGAAGGAGGAAAAGGCCATCAAGAAAAATGATGTACTCCTGAGGGAAGCACAGGCAGAGGGAGCACGAGAATGCCAGCTGTGAGGCACTGAGGTGAAGGAAGGAGAGCTGTTGAAGACTGAGCTAGCACTGCTGCGAAGCACAGTAGAGAAGGTAAAGGTTGTAGCAGAGGAGGAAGGGGAGAGAAAGGTGCCATCAGCCCCAGAAATGGAGGAGCTGGGGAAGGATGAAGGGGTGGTGCCAGAGGCATTGACCCCTCCTCTATTGAAAGCACACCCAGTGGTTGTAAATAAAGACCCAGCAGCTGAGGGTTTCCCCAGGAGAGGTGCAGTCCCCTCCTGAGGTCATGGAGCACTCTATGCTCTGCCCCTTTACTCAGGTTGAGCTGGTGGATTTGGCCTCCTGGTTTAGGCAGAAGCCCTCAGGGTCAATATCAGCTTGGCTCCTGCGTCTGTAGGACTTAAGGGTGGATGGAATTGTTCTGTCTGGATCAGAGATGGGAAAGTTGGGTTCCCTGATGGTTCAGCTTGCCTTGAGGCAGTGATTATAAAGTGCACATCAGACCCCAGGAAATCACTCCCTCCTTGATTGGCTTGTGGCTGCACTTCGTGCTGTGTGGCCCAATCAGGGTGATCTACCATCCTCCTCTGCTAGATGGCATAGATATTGAGCTCCCACAGGTGTTAATGGGACCTAGGCATAAGAAATACCATCTATAGTCCAGAGAAACATGACCCAGATGAGGAGCCTTTCATTACAGGGATGAGAAATATTGTGGTTCAAACAGCTCCCATATTCCTTTTTAGGTCTCTAGTGGACATTCTTGCCCCTCAGTTAGGGATGCCCATAAGCAAGGTTACATGTATAGTAGCAGACTTAGGAGAGGCTGAAGCAATTAGAACACAGAAATAAGATCTGCCACTTACAAGAATTTAAAGGGCCCTGTGAAGTTTATAGGACCCAGATGTGGGTTGATTTAATATGGGCAGGAGCAGGTGGAAGGAAATTGGATGGTAAGTCAAATAGGATCTTACTGGAGCTATGGCAACAACTGAAACCAGAGTAGCAGTTCCAGCCATTAAGACCAAAGAGACAGAGTTTAGAGACAGAGCTACAAGTCTGGCCTGTGTGTCTGCAAGATTTCCTGATGGAAGTGAGCCAACCCCACCTGAGCCCACACAGGAAGATGATTGGGGAAAACACAGTTTGACTGAAGGGAAGGTGAGGTACCTGCCCTGAGGGACTGGGGGGGAATGGGAGGCACGTTGAAATAGCTATCCATTGGTCCCCAGTGAACATACAATGTGTCTTGGCTTTGGTGGACACAGGGGCTGAATGTTCACTGATCCATGGTAACCCTGGGCGGTTCCCCAGGACCCCTTCCTGCTATAGTCCTATCACAGGACCACTCTCTTGCATGCATCCTATCTGATGGACAAGATTTGCCTACGTTGGTGTCATTAAGATGTGTCTTATTGCTCCTAAGGTCTTTGTGGATTGGGAACCTCCTCTTGCTTGAGGATTATTATAATTTTTGTTCAAAATCTTGTATATTAATTTTTGTTATCATCTTTAAGTTGTTACTCATTATTGCCCTTAAGGTCTTTGTGGATTGGGAACCTCCTCTAGCTTGAGGATTATTATTTTTGTTTTCTGTATCAAAATCTTATTGTATCTTAATATCTGTTATTATCTCTAAGTTGTTATCCTCTGTTGCTGTTGTGGAATCTGGTTGAGTGCTCCAGCTTTCTCACACAGGGACCATTGCGGAAGACTGAGAGCATGTAGATTATAAGGCAAAAATCCTGGAGGGGTGGAGTGTGGGGAAGTTGGGGTTCCTATGGGCAGGATTCTCACTGAATTTAAACCACCTGATGATGTAACTGGCCTGTTGCTAGGCTACCACGTCCACACCCACAGGCAATAAGCTGTTATCGTACTATATATAGAGCTCAGCCCAGTGCTCTGGGTGGAGGCAGAGATGCTAGTGCTTGACCTACTGCTGGGAGAACAAGGCAGGTAATAAACCCTTTCACCCCAAGAACATTCAACTGTCATTTCTTTGGTCACACTGAATCCATAGTGAACTTGCCTGGAGCTAAAATCCAATGGCAAGATAGTGTAAAGGGACACAGTATCTTATCTTTCAATGTCAACTGAAATATACACAAAAAAGCCAAAATTTCTAGTTGAATTTATTTTCATCTAGCTACATGCTAGTGTGTTTAAGTAGCTTCTTTTTAAATATCTCAATGAAGAACCTAACAATTTTCTATACCTTAAATAAGAAGTTCTTACCCAATGTATTTGATTGGAGATTTTCACTACTTAATTGGTTAAAAATAGATTCAGCTGCCAGCATTCCACTTTTCATTGCTGTGTGGGTACCTTTGATCTTGGGAACATTCATGAAGCCAGGGCTACAACCAATTAGTAAGCCACCAGGAAATGTGAGTTTTGGTATAGACTGGAAAGAAATATTCAGAGTGCATTTGTTAGTGCAAATGAAACCAGCAAAACAACACTCCATGCTACAGCGTCCTAAAGTCTTCTAAAGCTGTATGGTAGAACTGGGGAAAAAAATACATGAAAAGGAACATAGTGGAGGAAAAAAACAAAGCAAGGGCAGTTTATTCTCCTTTGCTAAGAATGAGGATTATAACTATTACTATTTTCTATTAAGACTTTTCTTTCTCTTCCCATGACTGATGTACATGAAACAGATTTAAGACCAGACCATTAACATAAATAAACATTTTTATTTATACATATCCACATCATAGTTAAAAATAATTCTCTAAACCTGAACAACATACCTAAATTGTGATCTGCTTTTATTTGTGTTCTGGGTAAAAACATGATTTACAAAGGATGCTTAAATCTATATACCCTTCTTATTTTACTTTGATACCTGGGGATGAAAACTTAGGTTCTAATCATGGCATAAGTACAATTAGCTACTACCTCTAAATTTAAATAACTATTTAATTAAGTTGAAATTTTCCAAAATAAATTTTAAGACAGTAGTTTGGACCTCAGAATACATTTCTGATGAAAAACAATGTAATAATGGATGGTGATATTTTTCAGTTTATCCAATAAAAGCCTATAAGCACAATATAGCAGCTAAATTGTAGATTATTTGTACTTTTTAGTTTGAGGAGAGAGTAGAGAGCAATGCAGAGCTGTTCTTTTCCCCCTGCTGTATTTTTATTTCTCTAAAGGCTTCATAAACCAAGCCATGGGTCTTTGCTGGGAATGTGGCGGGTAGTAGAAGTGTGGCTGATGGTGCTGAGAGACTCAGAGGAGAGGAGCTTAACAGGAAACTCCTGCAATAGCTGCAAGAAACATGGTGAGGGGTCTGTGGCAACAGCTCCCATCACTTAAAAGAATTCTGTGGGAGGGAGGTGGCGAGTGGCAAAACCTGGGGGCAGAAGGAATGCTGGTAAAAGAAGGGTCAGGGCCCAAGTCCTTTCACAGCACCTGTGGGACTGAATTTATTACTGTGCTTCTCAGAGCAAACTCAGTATCAGAACCACTACATAAAGGAGCATTAAATCAGCATCACAGGGTAGAAAATAGGCAGAAAGGGCTTTCCTGGAATGCTCCAAGGTGAAAACAGATAATGCTTAGGAACTGGAATAATGACAATGCTTTTCTTGAGTAAGGCTGTGGCCTTGCTAGCAGAATTTGAATAAATGACAAGAATACTGTGAAGTTTAATAAAAAGGCATGGATTGTTAGGGCAAGTTTTTCCAAACTGGTGTTTAGTTCCTAAGAATAACAATTTTATGGCCCAAGAAAAATGTGTTTTTAAGTCCTGGGAGAATCCCACTTTGGGAAGGCAGTGTTACTGGCAGCTGGGCATCTTGTTAAGGAACTAGGGACCAAGGAAAAGTTGCACTGAAAAATGTATTCTGGCACATCCATTAACTAGGGCTATGAGTAATTAGAAATCCACTAGGAAAGGTGAGTTTTGGTACAGACGGAAGAAAGAGAAAAGTAAAAAGTCATGTAATATCTGTTAGCTCAAAATAAACAAAACTGAGTGTTTTGAATTATTGTCTCTTAAGGTTCTTCGAATATGGAAGTAAGTTTCTGAGTCTTTGACTAATTAAATCAGACAATTTAAGTAAAAAGGGTGCTTGTGTGTGGTCATCTCTTCCTGCCAATCTAAGAGTCCTCTGAGATGTTGCAGCATACAAAGCAGATATTTTCAAGTACAAATCTGTGTGTATTGTTGAATATACTGAAACCTTTATATTATCAATTAAAAACAGTAGAATAAGACTGGCAATAGGGATTTTTATGGACATTATACAAAAAAGTTTAATGGGCTTTAGTGTAACACAGTTATGCAATTTAATAAATATTTGTTGCAAACAAATTGCTACCCTAGAAACAAAAACAGCCTCATAAGAAAGAATCCCATAGCAACAGAATTTGGTGACAGTGTTATTTTAAGACTCTAGTGATTACATTTATAATTTAGCAATGATTTAATTTGACTTCATGAATTATTACAGTAATAAAGTATTTAAGAGTTTTAAAAGTTAAAGTCAACCTTTTCTCAGGTTTCAATTACTTTTATAACAGATTTAAAAAGTCTCTGCTTTCTAGAATAGTTCTAGATTCCTAGAATATCAGACACAGAGAGGATCATTTTCATTTTACAAATGATTCCTAAAGGCTAGAAAAGCAACTTGCTCCAAATCATTTGGTATAAATTTTAGAGCTGAGTTTTTTAGATCATCTTACCTGTCTAATACTATTTCTACTAATAGTACTAATAACCTTTATCATAGTTAGCTACCTAGGGCTTATTTCATTATTTAATTTGCATATACTTAATATACTAACTGCATTTGATAAGATTTATTTTGAAATAAAGTAGAAAAATTAAGAGTAAAACTTCAGAGAGGCCACCTAAAAGACATCCCTTCTGCTAGGTAGTTGGGACAAATTAATTACCTTTGCTGAAAACAAAATTTGTCTCTGAGTTTCTGGCAGCTAAGGAATAAAGGCAAGTATCTTGGGTCATATAGTTTTAATTTTCTGGTTAAATAAATACCAACTAACAAATCAAAACAATTACCTCTGTTAATCTATCTCTAGAAATCAATATATTCTTAAAACTAAATGCATGGCACAATTTATTTAACTATGGTGTGACACAATTTTATAAACAGTAGGTGCTTTGCTGAATTACTTTTCTTCCTATAATTTCCTATTCTTTATCTAAATTTGTTACATTTTCAATGTTGAATTTATAATATAGAAATAAGAAACAAAAAAGTTGGAAGCATTACCTGAAAGCCACCTTCGTTGAGAGCTCTGGCTCCATATGCGATCCTTTTTCCACCCTCCAATGTTGGCTGAATGCTGGGGTGGTGTTTCCACCTCTGGAACTCTCTAAATGGACTCAGGAATGGATTTTGATAGTCTAGACCAACCTTAAAGATTTTGCATATAATATGATATATTTATGTGAGACATTTTTATTTTAAATTATATCAAACTAAAAATATGAACACTATCAGAAAACATTACATTTATTGTACTCAAAAGTACCTGGAGAAATATATGCAGTAATCCAAATTTAAATAAATAACCAAATAAAATCTATTTAGAAAAGAAAGCCTAAACAAAAAAATACTGTGTTTATAATCAACAAAACTTAAAAAATTTAGAACATATTAATAAGGCATTTTGCTATATAAATCAAAGTCCAAATCAGAAAAATATTTGAAGGTAGGTGTCCCACACTGTTTCTACAAAAGGAGTTGTAATTATTTTTTATTCATTTATCAATACCAGCTCTAGAAATGAACTAATAAGCTATATGCAGTACTACTGAGGCAAAAATGAAGAAACAGGATGTAATTATACTTCAAAAGAAAGACAAGAAATATTGGAGGCTACATTTTACAAGGCATTATCAAAATGTTGAGACTAGTAGCCAAACATTTTTTGCAGATTCAGTCACTGGAATAAGTACACAAGGGTGATGCACTTAATACCTGGCTGAGTGTCAAAATCACCAGTAATGCATAAATTTAACAGTGTATCATATAAAGTTGAATCATGACATTAAACTATAAAGCTGCAACCAACTGCAAGGTGCAGAAACCCAGACCCTCTTCCTTTCCCTTGTATGTTCAAGATGTGATTTACTGCAAAGATGTGAGTGGCCGAAAAGGGAGAAAGTGCTCTTATTTTTTAAAAGCTAAAGATTCAAGCCCAGTGCTGATTTCATTTTCAGTGACAGCATGCGAGAGTAGAAATGGGCTTTGAAGTCAGAAAAGTTCAGGCATGAATCCTGACTGTTATATGGGTGTATATGGAAAAGCTGTTTAACTTGTTGAACTTCAGTTTTAACTCAGTAAAATAGGGTTATGTCTACTTCATAAGTTTTCTACGAAACTCAGAATTCTCAGTGAAGCATCTAGCATGGTACCTGGCATATAGTAGCTACTATTACTAAAGCTATGTTGTTTAAGTACACTAATGTCTACAATAGCCACAAATATGTTACATAGTGATAAAATCAGAAAGTAAGCTTTAAATGAAAAACATTTAAAATTCTCCAGATTCAAAATGCTCATGTTAGAACAATGATGGTCCAATGACTCTAACAGTAGAACCTGCCAAAACGGTCATAACGGTTGCATAACTTACCACAAGACCGAGAGCTACCAGGGGTTCGCCTTCATTTAAATGATAGAGGAAGGAGCCTCCGTAAGTATGTCTATCCAAGGGCCAACCAACTGTGTGCTCCACTCTCCCAGGTTTCCACTTCTTTTCATCAATGATCCATAACTTAGAAAAAAAAAGTCTTAGAGTATTATTTGAACTTTTTATGTCACCACAATGTATAAGACTTACTAAGTTTTATGTCTTACTTATTAAAACTAAAGTGAAAAGCTGTAATAAGAGAAACACAGAAAAAGCACTTCAAATACCAAACACAATTATATCAAATAGCAGAATGATGAACTGGAGTAAAGAAATAATTCAGAAAAGTAACTTTTTAAGACATTAATTAGATTCTCAGATTGTAAGAGTTTCATGTGATTATAGGAGACACCATGAGGAGATGAGGGAATTTCCAGGGCACTGTAGGACATCACCAGATGTTCTCTATCTTGATGTCGGCGATGTTACATGGGTCTGTTCACCTTATAAGAATTGAGGTGGACACTTAAGATCTGTTCCTTTATAATATATATGTTATTCCTCAATAAAACAGTTTATTCTGTCCTGCATTCTCTCCTCTCCAGTTGAAGCAATTTCTTCATCCTATTTTCAGATTGGTAAGTTTTAAATTTTAAGCAATTTCCATCTGAAATGTTAACTAAAAATCAGATAATATGATGTACATCTACTGAAACAAGCGCTTATTCACAATTTAATAAATCTAGTTATCTACAGTATCTGAACCTTTCTCAGCTTTACCTTTAAAGAAAAAATCTAAACAAAATGGTTATAATGAAATTCTTACACTCCAATATATATCTATATCTAAGATTTGGGAAAGCAGACCACAGAGACTGGGTAAATTGAGAAAACATACAACATTCAAACTAATTAATTTTTAGGTTGCATGCAGATCAATATACCATGGCTGAATGTGTATTTCACAAACTAAATTATCTTCACATTACAATTTTGAGTAAACATTCTTGTACAATGTGGCCATACTACAAATAACATGGATAACAGGTCAAATCCTATTAGGATTGGGCAAATGACATTACAAAAAAAAAAAACCAATGTTACAAATACTTTCAAGACTTATTTCATGCAACATCTGATACAAATAAAAACATGTGCATACAATTCAGATAGTAACAGAATTTGATTAGCAGTGTTTTTAAGCCTCTTGAAAAATATCCCAAATATTTTCAGTAATAATAAACATTTCAAGTCAATGAAAAATATAACTAAAAAAATGTTATAAACTACATGATAATACAAATGAATTTAAGTTCCATCTTTCAAAATTAAAATTACAAAAACAAACCAGAATACCTCCTTCAGTCCAATTCCATAGGTCTGGGGATCACAATTGGCCCTCAAATCAAACTTCTTATACAGTTGCTTGGCTAGATGTCCATGGCAACCCTCTGCAAATATTGTAACTTTGGCATGCAGTTCTAGTCCTCTCTCAAATGTTGTCTAAAAAATAAGAAGATGTTAAACTGCAACATTTAACAATTTAAAAAATATTCACATTCTGGTCAGCTTTGAATTGAACTATAATTTAGGTATAGAAGGTAGTGCAAATATGTAATATTTAGAAATGAGACTACTGCTGTAAATGGAATCTAATTTAAATTTTATATTTTAAGTTTTTGTTATAGTTTTCTTTTTTATAATTCAACAGTACTTGATTGAATGGTTAAGTCTGTAAGAATTAAAAAAGCAAATAGAACATGCTCAATCCAAGAAACTTTCTCTACAAATGAACATGCAAATGCAAAGCCATTTCCTCACTGTTCCTGATGTTCCAGTCCTATCATCTGAGGCAAAAACACCAGTAATAGCTTTCTTGTGAATCATGGCAGAAGATTACCTTGAACAGAAAACTATATAGAGCCTATTTATATTCTTCTAATACAAATATGAACATACTAAATATGTGCTTTGGCTACTTGTTCCTTTCACTTTTACTTGTTCTCTACTGCTAAACACATATTGTAAAACTGAAATGTTTTTTCCAAGGGTAAAAAAAGCTATAATTAAAGTATTTCTTTCTTTAGCTTTTCCTATTTTGCATGTATGTCTGGCACAAGGTAGGTACTCAATAAAGTTACTGAATAAAGAAATACAGGATTATCAAGAGTCTCTCTTATGGAATTTATCTTTCCTGATATTCCTCTATTCATATTATTTATGTGTATGTATGTATGTATGTAGACACATTCACACAAAAAATAGGTTTATAGTGACAACCTGTTTGATAACTTTTCATATTATATTGTAAGTGATTTGCCTAATACAATATAAAGCAAATAAAGCATTCAATTTTAATGCTTGAGTCTGAGTCCCAAAATTTTTCAATTTTCTCAGTAGTTGGACATTTAGGTTGTCTAGATTGCTTTACTATTTTAAGCATTGCTTGGATGAATGTCCTTGGTCCTAAGTATTTTCAGTCTGAATGTACCTTTTTACTTTACTCAGTACCTTCTTACTTTGTTCTTGCCTTCTCCCTCTTACTTATTTATTCACTCATTGATAAGCCATGTTAACAATCTAGTATGTAAAGTTTTACCCAAATATATATATATATATATACATACATGCTGAGAATCTTACATATGTATTTAAATATCTTTGGTTCCTGATTTTACAAAAATAGGATCATATGATACAAACTTTTTTGCATCTTTTTTCACTTATTAATACTTCATGGAAAGCTTTTCAAATAACTGTGTAGCTCAAATCTTTCTCTTTAATGGTTGGACAGGAGTTGGAATGTGGAAATACCATAGATTTTTTTCAGTCATTCTGCAAATGGGTAGTAGCCATTCACTCTGTTTCCAGTTTGTTGTGACTATACACAACATTATAAAACATTCCCTTGTATATGTATCTTTACAATACTGGTGCTTTTATTCCTATAAGACAGATTTCCAGGAATGGCACTGTTAGATCAAAGGGCACACCTATTTTTATTTTACTACACGACAGTACCAGATTGCAGTAAGATAGTATCGGCGTAAAAAGACCCTAATCTCTATAGATCAGCTAGTGTTAGATATAACTGTTCCTTTTACATTTCTGCTAAGGGTAGTGCTAACTCACTGCTATTTTAATTTGCATTTCACTGACTACTGTTTTTAGCATCTTTTTCTTTTGATTCAATAAATATTGAATGAATATCTAAAGTGTGCCAAGTTCTATGCTGGGCACTGGGGATACAGAGATGAAGAATAAAAGACATATCCTTTTCCCTCAGGCTAGTCATGGAGGTAAATATGTACATGAGTATATAATTACAAATTGTGATTGAGTGCTAGAAAAGAAAGCACGAGGCATTATGAGGGAATAATAAAATTACGCTGTGGGTGAGCGGAAAAGGTCTCTTTAAAGAATTTACAGACATTTTAGTATGCGGATTCCGAAGAAAGATATTTAAGTATCTTCCCTTATGATTTAGTGGTCACATGGATCTGCTCATCCATAAACTGTCATTTTTTTAGATTTTGCCCATTTTTCTAATTTGTTCTTTTTTTCTTGTCACTGTAGAAGTGCTTTTTGATATTACAGGTAGTCAAAATTTTCCCTCAACCTACTGTTTATCTATAGACTTTATAGTCTCTGTTGGTATACAGAAATATGTACTTTTATATGGTTAAGAAAAGGTCTGTCTCTTACAGGTTTTTAATTTCTTGTCTATTTATGATGGCTTACCCTTCCCCTACATTGTAATTATAATCTAGATTTCTTTCAGATTTTTTTTTTGTCTTAAGAAATCATCAGAATTTAAAAAAATGAAGGTACAACTCTATTTGTTTCTTGTTTTCCCAGCACTACTTAAAAACAATTCAATCTTAATGACTAAAACATTACTTAGTATATTTCCCTCTTCTGTTAGAGAGAACATTGTCCCTTAGTTCAAGGGGCAGGTGCTGGAGCCACACTGTCTATATTCAAATCCCAGCCCCACTATTTATAGCTTTGACCTTGGGCAAGTTACTTAACCTCTGAAACTCAAAAATGTTCAAGCCAGAATTCCTGTAATAAGATTTCTTATTAGAGGTGGGACTAGAGTTACTGAATAAGCAGTACGACTATGATCCTGGGACTCAGGGAAGACGTGTTGAAAACCATGTGGCTTGATAAGGTCACTAGGAAACTATACAGAGGACTAAGCACTGCGCCCTAAAGCCCCAATATTTAGAGGTCAGTAGGAAGAGGAAAGGAGGCAAAGGTGACAGGAGGAGAGGCTGATGAAACACAAGGAAAACCAAGAGAAGGTGGCATGAAAAGCAAATCAAGAGAGTGTTTCAAGAAGGAAGAAGTTATTCAACTGTGTCAGTGCTGCCTACGAGAGGGTCAAGTAAGAGAAGACAGAGAACTGACTACTGACTACTGGATTCTTAGGACAGAGGTATTCGTGACTCCGACCAGAGCTGTTTCAGTGAAATGGCAGGGAAGAATGCCTACTTAAGGTGGGTTAGAGAATGGAACAACAGAGTAAACAGAATCCTTGGTTCTCCCCATGCCAAACTTATATTACTTACTAAAAACATTATTTTAAAAACTTAGATTTTAGATCCGAAATTGTTAAAACTCCACTGTACTCTTCTATGTTTTTATATCTACATAAATACAATATAGAAAATATTAATGTTCTTACAGTTACAAAGCACAGAATATAAAAATATACATTTAAAATATGAGCACAAAATATGAAATATCAGAATGGTGGAGTATATGTGCTTCAATCCTGTTATAATATTAAACAAAAATTTTTAAGGAATAATATATAATTAAATGATCACAATATAGGAAAGAATAACCATAACACAGGAAAGACTGTAGGAAAAACAATATTCTTTTATCATTATGAGAAGCAGTATGAGATAATAGTTGTTTGTAAACCTGGCTATTGATCAAAATCCATGGGGGCTTACTAAAATACAGCTTCTTGGAACCTAGTATAGGACATGTAGTCACAAGATCTCATGATTCAGATGTAGCAAGTCAAAACATTAGAAGGAACAAATGAAGTAGGTAAGACTTGAGAGTTTTGCCACTGCTTTTTTCTAAGCAGGAAGTAGTGAAAAGCAGGAAAATCTACTGGAAGAGACTCTAGGCTAAATTCCCAATTCTGTTCAATGGCAGAGAGAAGGCTAAACTGAGTTGACAAATATTTATTAAGGACCTAACATTACCTGGCTCTTTGCCAGTCACTGGAGTAAGACTCCGTGTGTTACATGGAGTTGGAGAAATTAAGACGATGAACAAACAGGAATAGAAAAATTAATTTATTGAGATGTTGATTTGTGTTTCGTTCTTGTTATTACTGAAAAGCAAAGTATTTTTTCCTTGCCCTTTCTGAGGAACTTTCTAAAGTGTGAGATCCATGTTCTAGGAGCTTTTTTTTTTGCAAATTCAAAAATGTAAGTTGTGAAAACCTGAAAACCATCCAGGCTTGTATTTGAATGAAAGGAAGGCAATCAGTTTTATATCTACCAAAAGGTATTAAAGTCAAGTCACCTGATTTACCTGATTATTGTTAGCAATGGAAATGATTTTTGTCCACAGAAATGAACGGAAGTGGCAGTGCAGCTGACTGAGGACCCACAGTGTGTATGATTTTTGAGTTCTTCTTGAACTGCCTATAACATTTTACTGATTCCCTCAGTAATTAATGAGTGAAATAAAACCTTGACATGTCTTTGTTTTATATTTGTATGAGTTATGTTTTCATCTTTCAAAAAAGTATTTTAAACATGTTATATCTATCTAAATCATGTTTAGTTCAAAGGTGCTTCTATATTTTTAACGAGGAAAATTGCATATTAATAATTGTATTCTGATATACACTTAATGTGTAGTCTGTAGCAAGACTAAGTTATTGAATGTAAGTTCTTTCTTTCTTTTTTTTGGTCAGTTTATTAACACATAACTATTAAAACGTTTACCTTTGGGGCACCATCCTTTTGTATCCCTACATCATTAGTGGCAACTCCTTTCACACTACCATCTTCATGAAAAAGTACCTAAAATGAAAACATATTTTATTATCACCTTAGAGTTCATAACTACTTTGAAAAGAAACAATAAATAGCCTTAGATTTTTTAGAAAGTGAATACATTCTCTAGATTATAGAACTACAGGCTTTAAAATGTTTAGCAGAAAAAAGAAATGGTTTTGAGATACTCCCTAGGGTATAAAAGAACACAGTTCAAACAACTGGAAATGAAAGACATGCCACAACCTTAATGAGAAGGAAAAGGGGAAACTAGAGGACACTAAAGAAACTGGTAAATTTAAACAAAAATCTCTTTGCAGAGTTCAAATACAAGAAATGTATACAGAACCCAAAATCAGGGCCTGTAACAAAGAAGAGCATCACGGTGGGTGTCAAAAAAAGTGTCAGGAAGCCTCTGTCCCAAGTGAGCTAAGACCCAAAAAACAGAGAAAACAGAACAGAATGAAACAGCGAGGCTGAAGACAGCCCAAAGTGATTAAAGTTTATTTCTGGAGTAAAAAGAAAGGGGAAAACTGTCAAAAGTATAATTCTGAGGATGAAAAATAACAATACTCTGTAATCCTTTCTTGGTTTCTGTTTACTTTCTGGGGGAAAAAGCTCTTTGGCTAGGAAAGTACAAAATGTAAACTAGAATTATGCAACAGAAAGTATGGGGTGGAAAGGTAGGATAGGAATTGGCAGTGATGGTATGAAAAAAGATTAACATGTTTTATCTGATACTTGAAAACCAATCAACAGTAGAATGTGGCTATGAACTATAACTGATGTGTGGCTTGCAGTACCAAAATAACTGACAAATCATCGATCTATTGATGATCTTTAAGGAACTGAGGAAAAGAGGAATAAGAGACTAGAAGCGTGTGTGTGTGTACTCAAAAACTGAAAACCACGAATTCTGAAAACCACTGATCCCATTCAAGAACATTTTAGCTAGCAGAAATGCAAACCCCCACATACTTGGGTCCACAAATTCCAAATGTATAAGTATGGATGAGAAAACAGAAATTAGCTGTACCAAGTACAATACAGGGACCTAGGTGTTTTATTTGATTTACATTCCATAAGGGTAAAATCAAATAAAATACTATTTTTAATTTTCCCTGGTGTCCAACACAAGAGAAACCCCCCTCCAATCAAGAATCTTTCAGCGTTTCTTTTAGAAAGCAACTGTAAACCATTTCTCTGTCTCTCTGATATATATATAGAGATCTCTTTAAAAGCTAAGTAAGACTCCTGGCAGATCTGCACCTCAGAAATGTTTCTTGGGAGCTTTGGAGATGCATTTGAGACATGAATCAACAGTGTGATGTGGTTACCAAAGAGTTATTTTGAGGGAATTTATAGAATAACAGTTTCTAGAAAGAAGAAGATAACGGGCCAGCTCTACACAAGGTTTGAGTAGTTTATTCATTCCAGGTGACATTTCATAAAGGGGATAAAAAATGAGTGCATTCAGAGAAGGGCAATGAGAGTATGAAAGAACTCAAACTATGCAACATGATGGTTGAAAGAACTGAGAATATTTAACTGGGAAAGAATAAAACACCAGAGTGATGGCAGTGAAGAAAGTAGGGCATAATTATATTGGACAGTTTGTCCTTGAAAGAGGGCATAGATTTGTTCTCTACAGTGTAGAACAGTAAGTAAATTTCTATTTAACATAAGGAAGAGAGTATTAGCAACAATCCATACATCAGACAGAAATTTTTCATCCTCAATGGTGCTCAGTCTTAAATTGGATGATCGTTTGAAGTGGGTACAATGTTACAAGTACTCTTTGGATTAGATTTTCTTAAGATTCCTTCTAATCTTACAATTCTAAAATCCTATGGCTTTTCTAAAATACTTTTTTCTTTACCTCTAAACCATTCTTGGTTTAGATTCAAAAGACAAAGAGACTACTTCCTGTAGATGTTAAAAACAAAACTGCACCCACCTCAGCAGCAGCGCAACCAGGGTAAACTTCAACGCCGAGAGCTTCTGCTTGTTCCCCCATCCAGTTCACTAAATGCCCCAAGCGTACAATGTAATTGCCATGATTATTCATTGGGAGACCTACAAATATATGTTGAATCTATAAATCTGACTTTTTATTGATAAGGCATCTAAAAAGCGTAAATATTTAATTTAAAAATTCTAATAAATATATAATTTCTCCATGAATTTACACATCTTATGGTCATAAGTTCAGTTTTTTCCTACAATTTTGGTCTAGAGTTCTAATCATTAAACTAAAAACATTGTACTACTAAGTCAAAAATTCCTGGTTGCCTTACAAGGCTATCTCAACTCTTGTAGACTGGAAGACACAAGAACTGGGTTCTAGTCCTGATTTCCCACACTCTAGCTGTAAACTGGGTAAGTTTTTAAAATCTCTGGGCCTGAGTTTTCTCATCTGCAAAAGGAAGATATTTCATAAGATGAAATGTAGTTCCTGCCAGCTGTAGAATTTTGTAACTTTATGAATATTTACCATACCTTACCTGGAAGAATTGGCACAGGAATTCTGTATTTTGCTGTTAAGATTCCAAACCTATCTTCTGTTACAGGAGTGTTAAGTGGAGCCTAGAAACAAAAGGAAAGTAAGTTTGTCATTTATATTTGTAAGGGTAAAAAAACTGTCAAAGGGGAAAGGGAGCTGCCCTCCTCACTTTTCTTTCATCACTTCCTTTAGAAAACGTGGAACTGTAAATCCTTTGTCTCTTTGAGATGTATGGGAATCTTCTTAAAAGCTAAATAAGCAGTTCTGAATCTCAGGAATGTCTGTCTTGGGGGCCTTGGAGACACCTTTGCAATGTGAACGATGGCTTCCTGTCTCCCGGTCTCTGTGGGAGGCGGACCTAGGTGCTGCCTCCAGGCTGTAACTCCTACTTGATGGAAACATAAGTTTTATTTTTCCTTTGAATAAATACAAGTCCAAGTAATGGACTGTATCTGCCTAGTTATATGGGGCTTTGATGTGAAAAACTTTTTCTATTAGAATTCATATCATGTCAATAATTCAGATATCTATTTTGATATATTGAAAAGAGTTAATTAGGCAAAAGGTATTTCTAGTTAAAAGAAGCTTGATATTTTAGAAAGAGCATACATGAAATTTTTAGAATTCAATTTATTTCAGACATAAAGAATACAGAAGTATTTATATATATTTTTAACCTTTACAAAGTATATTCACAGACACTGAATATTCTAACTTTGAAAAAGACAGGACAGGTATAACACAGCCCATCTTACAGAAGAAAAAACTTAAGACATACAGAGTAAGATTTTCACCAAGGTCATACAAATTATGAGAAAAGTAAAACTAGCATTTGGGTCTCTGTATCATACCAGTGCCTTTTCTGCTTAGTTTATAGAAGGCCATACTAACTTATTTCTTTAGAAAATCAGATTATCCTCTTGGCTTTAGATACTGGAGTATCCCAGGAAATTTATATAACACTTTATGAAGAAAATGATATAAGTACCTATGGAGTAAGTCAGAAAATACCCTCAAAATCAAAATGCTATATTTCATTAAGTATTCCAAGATCTCAAAATAGAGCCGTCTCACAAATCTAGTACATAAATACAACATATAGAAGATATTATACAAATAATGAGTTAGTGTGTCAAAATTATAACTATGTTTGATATGGTTCAATTTTTTTGGTCTTTTTAAATTAAAAAAACAATATAACTATTCTTTAAAAGATAGAATTACATGAAAAGGGTTTTCCATATTTCAGTAATTTGGAAATGGAAACAAAATAGAGATTTGACTTATATAAAAAAAACAATTTTTCATACTCCCTTCTCCTTCCAGTCTGGGAACAATTCTTCAAAAGCATGTGGATCAAGGCAAGCCCCCGAGAGAGTATGAGCTCCTATTTGAGCAGCTTTCTCCACTAGACAGACACGGATGTCCTTCTCATGTCTGGCAGCCAACTGCTTTAGGCGAACGGCTGCAGAGAGTCCTGCAGGGCCTGCACCAACAATCACCACATCCGCTTCCTCTACAAACCTCTCCATGTTCACTCCTAGGAAGAGAAAATGTTAAAAAAAAACCACACACACAAAAATTCTGGGATGAATATGACCTGATAAAGTTACATGCTGGACTACAAATATCCACTGTGTTTTAGAGCATTTTTTATAGAAATTGCCCTTCTGCTTGAGAATTATACTAAGTATATATTATATCAGTTGCATGTTCCAGTGCATATCTTATTTTCTCTTCCATAAACCAACTTTTGGCTTGAGATTCATTATTAGAAATATAGCAAATATTTGCTTATCTAATATTGATATATAATAAATTTGGTAAAGCTGTAAAATATTATTAGATGATTTTACATCATGAAAACATAATCTCTACAAAATGATACAGATTATCTAGAAAAGTCTCAACAGTTTTACACAAGTTATTACTTACCTTCCCATCTCTTGTCCTTATCCCGGGGATAAATAGTATAGTGGGTAGTAATTCGAGGCACAACAGAAGTTGAAGACCATCTCGAGGCACACAGAGGTAGATAGTTTTTCTTAATTTTTAAAGCATGAAAACACTGATATGCTGCACAAAAATTATGAACATTGTTATTTTTTCAGTTGGTTTTCCTCAGGAGTAGACTGAAAAAACATTTTTATTTAAAAGAAAAAAACTCTTAGGATTGGGGATCAAATCTGGCTTCTATTTAGTTTTCTAATTTAACTCTAGTCTTTTAATTAGCTCTAAGACATTATTAACAAATCACTTAACCGCTTTAGATTTCAGTTTCCTCATCCAAAAAAGGGTCACTGTAGATGACCTCTAAAGTACTTTTGTGATCTGAAATGGTCTGATTCCATGTAATGCCTTATATTTGGAAACCTGACTATATTAACAGTACAGACATTCAGTAAGCTGTTAGGTCTAAGCTGTAGAGCTGTTGTGATATGAGCTGGAATAGATTCTACTTTCCTCGATGAACAATTTGGTTACTTTTTCTCATAAAGCAATGTTTTAAAATTATATTTTAAAAGTACCTAATAAACTAATTTATTCAGTTTACCTTATGTCAAGCTTAATCTATAAAAAGGATGAGTATAATTTATCATCTAAACTGGGTACTTATGAGAGTAAAAAGGAGTATTAATGATTTTCTAGGACAATGTGGATAAACTGTATTTTATGGCCAGATTTTTAAAAAAATTGATCCTCCCTTATGGCAGTATCTTCTGAGAACTTTAAAAATTATGTATTCTTTGAGTTAGAAAATAGAAGTTTATAGAAATAAATATAAGTGCACAAAGATTTGTCTGTATGAATGTTCATTAAACCTCTTGTTCTAAAACCTTCAGCTTTACCTCCTCCTTCCATTACCTGAAACAGATACCCTAGTACATCAAACACCACAGAATGATAGAAGCACTTAGGTGGGAACTTTCTCAATCCCTCATCAACGTCTCTAATGTAATCTGTATTTGTGTCCACCCTGGTTCACTCTCCCAGGTTATAACAGAAGAGATGTCTTTTCTACTGAGATTGATCCTTCTACCTGGATGATGATGAATATCCCTCCCATCTCCTTTGGGACATGCCTGCATCTGATACTCTCTCTTCCTCTTGTATCTGCAATGTCTGATCCCCTTCTTTGTTACTGTTCTTCGCAATAATCCTCATAATCATAAAAGAAGGACAGAGAATCCTCCCATGGGAATAGCCATGACAGACCCAAAAACTTATATTTGGAGTATAACAATTAAGTCTGCAATGGGAGAAGGGACATAATAATAAATGGAACTGAATAAAGACTTCAAAATAGAAAACACATAAGGACTCAGCACATGATAAAGATGTCACTTCAAATCAGGGAGAAGGGATGTTTACTCACTGGTCAGATAGGTAGAAAGACATTTGGAAAAAAAGTATACCTCTCTCATTATTAAAATGAATTTCATTTGGCCAGTGATTCTGACAGAAGAAATCAAAGTATAACAAACTATGGTGATAGAAGACAAGTAATGACTCTATAGCATCTTACTATGCTTACAGACAGTGATTGCAATGGGGTTGGGGGGACTTGATAATATGGGTGAATGTTGAAACCACAATACTGCTCATGTGAAACCTTCATAGATTGTATATCAATGATACCTTCATTAAAAAAAGATTATGGTGATAGATCCACAAATTATTTTCCTTTTTTAAAATTGAAGTATCATTGATATACACTCTTACATTGGTTTCAAATATACAACACTGGTTCAATTTTACCCATATTATTAAGTCCTCATCCCCACTAGTGCAGTAACTATCTGTCAACACAAGGCGATGTTACAGAATCAATGGCTATATTTTCCATGCTGTATTACTATCCCTGTGACCAACTTATCATTGAGAATTTTTGTGCCTCTTTATCCCCCTCACCCTTCCACTCCAACCCCTCCCCCATAGTAACCACCAGTCATTTCTCAGTGTCTTTGAGTCTACTGCTATTTTGTTTTGTTTTTAAACTCCACAAATAAGTGAAATCATTTGGTATTTGTCTTTCTCCACTTGGCTTGTTTCGCTGAGCATAATACCCTCTGGTCCATCCATGTTGTTGCAAATGGCAGGGTTTCTTTCATTTTAATGGCTGAATAACAATCCATTTTGTATATATACCACATCTTCTATATCCACTCATCTACTGAGAGACACTTAGGTTGCTTCCATAACTTGCCTATTGTAAACAATGTTGTGATAAACATAGGGATGAATACATCTTTTCGAATCAGGGATTTTGTTTTATTTGGATAAATTTCCAAAAGTGGAATTACCCAGTTGAGTGGTATTTCTACTTTTAGTTTTTTGAGGAACCTCCATACTGCTTTCCACAGTGGCTGAACCAATTGGAATTCCCACCAACAGTGTAGGAGTGTCACATTATTTCTTGTTTTTTGGATAGTGGCCATTTTGACTGGTGTGAGGTGGTATCTTATTGTGGTCTTGATTTGCATTTTCCTGATGATTAATGATGTGGAGCATCTTTTTATGTGCCTATTGGCCATCTGTATTTCTTCTTTAGAAATATCTAGTCAGGTTCTCCATCCATTTTTTAATCAGGTTGTTTGTTTTTGTTTTGAGTTCTTTACATATTTTGGATGTTAACCCTTTATCAGATAAATTTTTTATGAATATATTCTCCCATACTGTAGGTTGCCTTTTTGTTCTGCTGATGGTGTTCTTTCCCGTACAGCTTTTTAGTTTGATGTAGTCCCATGTGTTCATTTTTTATTTTGTTTCCCTTGCCTGAGATGATGTGTCCAGGAAAAAACTGCTGATTCTTACGTTCAAGAGATTTTTGCCTATGTTTTCTTCTAAGAGTTTTATGGTTTCATGTATACATTTAGGTCTTTGACCCATATCAACTTTACTTTTGGGTATGGTGTTGATAGTAATCCAGTGTCATTCTCTTGCATGTAGCTGTCCAGTTCTGCCAACACTAGTTATTGAAGTGATTATCTGTTCCCCACTGTATATTCATGGCTCCTTTATGCATGTATTAATAGATCATATATGGGTGGGTTTATATCTGAGTTCTCTATTCTGTTCCATTGATCTATGGGTCTATTCTTGTGCCAGTACCATACTGTCTTGATTACTGTAGCTTTGTAGTATAGCTTGAAGTCAGGGAACATAATACCCTCAAGCTTAATTCTCCTTTCTCAAGATTGCCTTGGCTATTCAGAATCTTTGTGGTTACATATGAATTTTATGATTATTTGTTCTAGTTCACTGAAAAATGCCATTGGCATTTTGATAGGGATTGCACTGAATCTGTAAATTGCTTTGGGTAGGATGGCCATTTTGACAATCTTAATTCTTCCTATTCATGAGGAAGGGATGGATTTCCATTTATTTGTGTCTTCTTTAACTTCTCTCCTGAGTGTCTTAGTTTTCAGAGTACAGGTTTTCACTTCCTTGGTTAGGTTTATTCCTAGGTATTTTATTCTGGAGTTGTTTTCCTGCTTTCTGCTAGTGCATTTATAGTACATAGGAATGCAACAGATTTCTGTGCATTAATTTTGTATCCTGCAACTTTGCTGAGTCCAGTTATTAGTTTTAATAGTTTTTTGGTGGAGTCTTTAGGGTTTTCTATGTATAATATCATACCATCTGCAAATAGTGACACTTTTACTTCTTCCTTACCAATCTGGATGCCTCTTATCTCTTTATCTTTTCTGACTGCCGTGGCTAGGACCTCCAGTACTATCTTGAATAAAAATGGTGAGAGTGGACTTCCTTGTTTTGTTCCTGATCTTAGAGGAAAAGCTTTCAGTCATCATTGAGTATGCTAGCTGTGGGTTTGCCTGTGAGGAGAAAGGAGTGCTTGGAACTGGCTCCTGCAGGTGCCTTCTAATTGGGCTAAGAGGGGGCCAAGAAAGCTGGGAAAGCCTCCTTCTGCCTGCCAGGCAGCAAAGTCTGATGCTGCTGGGCTAAGTGCAGTGCACAGGGAAGCACCCAAGGGCTGAGCTGCCAGCAAGGGGGATGGAGTTTTTGGGGCTCCAGAGTGCCCAACCTGTTGCACCAAGGGAGGGCTGGGCAAGTGTCTTCCACCTGCCCTTTCTGCTGTGGATGGAGCTCTATCCAACCCTCCGGCATCTGTTCTGCTGCTGGCACATCTTTCAGACTGCGGTGTTTGTTGAGTCTCAGCAGACTGGCGGAGCCTGCCTGTCCTCCACAAGCAGTAAGAGTCTCAGCCTCCCACAGAGCTTCAACTCTTCCTGGTGTCCAGCCCTGGTAATTACCAGATCTCAGTGCAACGTGGACTCCTGTTTCCAGAGCAGATGTCCAGGGCATGTGTGCGGAGCTCCTGAGCACTTATCCCCTCCTTGCTCTGTTCCTCTTCCTTTGGCCTATGCGCTGGCATGGGGAAAGGGTTTGGGTCCCACACGATTGCATCTCTGCCACTTTTCTCTGGGTGGTCTTCTCTTCATCATGTGTAGGTGGTCTATTCTGCAATCTTCAGGTTGTTTTCAGCGTTAGTTGTATTTGCTGTAGTTGCTTCCTTGGTGTCAGTGTCGGGAAGGAGGTTCACTTTGCCTTTCTGCTCCACCATCTTCCCTCCCCCACAAAAACAAATTTTGCTTTTGAGTGCACTGCATTTAGTGACTAGCATCCAACAAGTAGAGTATGAAGAGGGAAAAATATTCACTTTTTAGTGTAGAAATATGGCAGACACTTTAACCAAGTGATCAAGTACAACATTACCAGCAATAAGACACGTCAACATAACATACTCCTGATAGGACAGGGTAAGAAGGGCTCTTCACTTCTGCGGTATACCTCTCCAAAATCTATAACCTCAGTCTAATCATGAGAGATCATCAAATCAGATGAAGGACATTCTAGAAAATGCCTGGTCAGTACAGCTAAAAGTGTCAAGGTCATGCAAGACAAAAAAGACAAAGGAACCATCACACTCAAGTAGACTAAGGAAACATTACAAGTAAAAGCACTGTGGTACCCTGGCTTGGATCCTGGAACAGAAAAAGGAAATCCAAATAAAGTCTTTAATTTAGTTAATAGTATTGTATCAACATTAATTTCTTAAGTTTTGGTAATTTATATCAGTCATGTCGGAAGTTAAGCTGGGGGAAGGGTATATGGGAACTCTCCGTGCTATCTCACAACTCTTCTATAAGTGTAAATTATTTCATAATAAAAAGTTTCAAAATAAAGATTATAGTGTCCCAAAAAGTAACTCAAAAAAAAAGAGTGAAAACCTAAAAGCACCAAAGAACTAAAACTATAACACATTAAAAATAGATGAAAATCTTTGTGGCCTTGGATTAGGCATTATTTTCTTAGTTATGATACCAAAAGCACTAGAAACAAGACAGAAAATAGATAATCTATACTTCAAAAATTAAAACCTTCTGTCTTCAAAAGATATCAAGAAAGTAAAAACATAATTCATGGAATGGTAAAAATATTTGCAAATCATGGATCTGATAAGGGAGTTGTACCTAGCATATATAACTAATTTCTAATAATAAAAAAACAAAGTGACTGAAAAAACAGATCTGAATAGACTTTCTCCAAAGGAGATATATAAATGGCCAATAAGCACATGAAAAGATGCTCCATATGACTAACCACCAGGGAAATATAAATCAAAACTATGAGGTATCACTTTATACCCTCTAGGATGGCTACAATCAGTAAGACAGATGAAGTAAGTGTCGAAAAGGATGTGGAGACATTGGAACCTTCATACATGGCTTAAACATACATTTCAATATAATTCTCCCCTAGGTTTATACCTAATATAAATGAAAACATATGTTCACACAAAAACTTGTACATGAGTGTTCACAGCTGTATTATTCATAACAGCCAAAAAGTAGAAACAACCCAAATGTCTATTAGTCAATATGAATAGTGATATATTCACACAATGGAATATTCAGCAATAAAAATAAATTAATGATATATGCTATGAATTGGATGAATGTTGAAAACACCACGCTAATTGAAAGAAGACAGCCACAAAAGACAATATATAATTCCATGCACATGAAATATTCAGAAGAGACTAATTTATAGAGGCAGAAAATAGAGTAGTTGTTGCCTAGGTCTGAGGGGTTGGGGGGTGACTGTTAATGAGTATGGATTTTTTTTCTGGGGCAATGCAAATATTCTAAAAATAGGATATGGTGATGGTTGCACAACTCTGTGAATATATTAAATACCACACTGAATTATACATTTTAGATGGTGTGACTGTATAGTATGTGACATCTCAACAAAATTATTAAAAAGAACACTTATAGTCACATACACAAAAAATTATGAGGAAAACACTGGTAAATTTTTTTTAATCTTGTATTTGGAAAGGTTTTTCTAAGTATGACAAAATCTCAAAAATCATAAAATTATTGGCTCAAAATTTAGAACTATATGATCAAAATATGATATAAACATAAATATCCTATTTAGTTGTTTGTATTCCCTAGTACTCCTACAGTATTTGTCTTCCCCTTGTGGTATACTGAATCCCAGGGTTAGTCTATACATATAAGTATAAATATTTATTGATTGAATATTAGATAGTATGTTTTATACTCTTCTTTCATTAGGGTACTCATTTATGATTGATCCATTGTATTATAAAGCAAGTTAATGCTTTTTTACTGTCATTCTCTGTGAAAAGGGAAGCCAGAGTTATAAATCAAAAGTATTAAAAGGCCAACATGAAGGAATGAAAAGATAAGCCATAGATTGGGAGAAAATATCTGCAAAACACATAGGTGATAAAGGATGGTATCCAAAATGAACAAAGAACTCATACAATTCAACAAGAAAACCAAACTCCATTAAAAAATGGACAAAAGGTCTGAACAGACCCCTTACCAAAGAAGATATTCAGATGGAAAATAACATATGAAAAGATGCTGAACATCTTATATAATTAGGGAATTGCAAATTAATATGAGATACCACTACAACTTATTAGAACGGCCAAAATCCAAACACTGACAATACCAAATGCTAATGTGGATATGGAACAACAGGAACTCTCATTAATGCCAGTGGGAATACAAAATGGTACAGCCACTTTGGAAGGAAGACAGTTTGGCAGTTTCTTACAAAGCTAAACATACCCTTAACATACGATCCAGCAATTGCACTCCATGGTATTTACCCAAATGAGTTGAAAATGTCCACACAAAAACCTGCAACCAAGCAAGATGAATAAGCTCTAGAGATCTGTTCAGCACTGTCAACCATATGTCAATGACAATGTATATAGTCATTATTGTCAACAGTATTGTACATTTAAAATTTGTCAAGAGGGTATATTGAATATTACGTGTTCTTATCACAATAAAAAAAATACTCAGGATTAAAAAAAAAAAACTTCACCTGAATGTTTATTAGCAGGTTTTCTCATAACTGTTAAAACCTGGGAGATGTCCTTCAATAGATTAAATGGATAAACAGATTATAGTGCATCCATATAAGAGTATTATTTAGCACTAAAAAGACATGTGCTATCAGACACAAAAAAGACAAGGATGAAACTTAAATGCATATTGAAAGAAGCCAATCTGAAAAGGCTATATACTTTATGATTCCAACTATATGACATTCTGGAAAAGGCTAAACTATAGAAAGCTTAAAAAGAGTAGTTGTTGCCATGGGTTCAAGAGGACAGATGGGGTGGATTATGTGTAATAGGGGATTTACTGGGCAGCAAAATAATTCTGTGTGATACTGTAATTAATGGGGATACATATCATTGGACATTTATCAAAACCCACTGAATGTACAACACAAAGAGTGAACTCTAATATACACCATGGACTTTAATAATAGTGTACCAATATTGACTCACCAATTGTAACAAATGTATCACACCAATACAAGGTGTTAATGGGGGATGGGAAAAGTTATATGGAAACTGTGTATCTTCTGCTCAATTTTTCTTTAAACTTAAAACTGCAAAAAAAAATTGGTTAAAAGCAAAACAAACAAAAAAGGGCAACAAGGAAAAAAGCAGTGGTTAAGTGCACACTCTTTGGTTTCTGTGTACTTTGTGATTGAATTCCTTAGCAGCAATGAAACCTTCAGTAGGATCCTTAACTCTCCCAACCCCATCAGCTCTAGAGTTTATCGCCAATCTTAGCTTTGGAAATACTACGGTGTAGAGTTAATGTCTTACACAAATCAAGTGGCTAATACGTATTTGTTAGCTGGATAGGTACCTTCCTGGTTACAATTTTCACTGTCATCCAGTAACTTGCAAATCTCTGGTCTTAATTTCCTAAAATGAATTCCTTGGTATACAGTAATAATAATGAAGCCTTCCTCTATTTTTAACTTACCATTTATAATGAAGTATCTATCTGTGAATGAAAAAGTTTCTAAATATGTAATATAACATAAATCAATGGAGACTTCTACATGGATTTGCAATATATAATAAAATTTACATTTCCATGGACATACTGAATAATTTTCAATTTTAATACCACAGTTTATCCTTCATAACCTTATGAGGTATGTGGGGCAGTTACAATCCCCATTTACAGCAGTTAAATAGAAATTCAGATGCTCCCAGCAAAGCTCAGTCTCCATTCTTCCAACAACAGTCAAGCTCTGAGACTACAATTGGATTTGAAATGATCTCAGAGGTAATGGAACTTGAGCTGTGGTGAAAACAAGTTTTGTTTTCTTCCTTTTTTTTCTGATTAAATGGAGAGATGACAGCCTGGGATACGGTAATTATTGTTATTCTTTAGCATCGCACACACAATTAAAATATTTTTATGTCATATAATTTTTTCCAATAAAACAATTTTTTAAATAAAGTAAAAACCTCTGTCAGACAATCAATAACTAAAAATGATGATGAATGCAGAAGGGGAAAAGATTTGGAATGGCTGAACTTAAAAGCCTTTTTTATACATTAAAAATCTGATTTGATAATCACTCTTTAAAAAAGTGGCAAGGGAACTAATTTTCTTGCAAAGATACTGCAAACTAAAGTATGGGAATAATTTTTTAAACATTAAATATTCCTCACCTCTCCTAAGTTGAAATAATGTACATAAGATACATAAATATATGGAAGAACTCAGTCCCAGAATTCAAATATATCATCATTCAAAAGAATATTAAATAGACACTTTTTAAAACATTTATAATGCATTGTAGTTTAGTATATAGAAGTTATCATTTGCATCTGAAAACTGATAATTTGGTATTAGACAAAAATGTAATTCTGTTGTTTATATAGTAAGTGATTTTCTTGAGAATTTTTGGAACTGGTGTAGTCCGATTTCCTCCAGGAGTTAAAAAAAAAAAGTCATGACCTTTACTCTTTTTCTGAAAACAGTCTGATATTTCACTTTAGAGGTTTGAACACTTAGGCACCACAGCTGAGTTTGGTAGAAAGCTGAGGTAAGAAAGTCCAAAGACCTCATTACATCACCATATCAAATTCATCTTGCCAGAGCACTGTGTCCATCTGTTATCAGCAGCGCTAACATCCGGCTATTAAAATGGCAATGATTTAGGTATCCAAGGAAAACGGAAATGGTAATTTTGGTGGAATTTGGGTAGCACTTGCCCCAAAAATGATTTCAACTAAATTAGTCAGTAGACAGATAGATAGCATCTGATAACCCTGATATTTTAAAAAGCCTAACAGTTACCTGTACACTTGGGTGTAGTAACACATGAACAAGTAACAGGAACTTTTAACAGAATTGTAGTTATCTAATATATGGTGGCCAAATTTGACAAAATTCTTTCATGAAATTTACATACCATCCTTACATTTGCAACATGTATATTTTACTCTATAACCGAAATTAACTTAGAGATAAAAAATTAAGCCAGTTGAGAAAATTCTGAATTTTTAAACTCTTGTAAGTAAAACAAAAACACAATACAACTGCATCACTTTTTTTTTTTTTAAGTGGAAGGGGAGGTAATGAGGTATTTTCACAAGTCATCGTGATGGTTCTAGGAGCACCCACAACACGATAAGCCCCTAGAGTTAAATTTAGACAATATAAATTCCTGGCTCCAGATATGATCAGGTGACTTGAGCAGAATATGAATATTAATCATGATGTGACACATTAGGCTCCAAATTCTGGAGAACGGAGTGGGATGGCTTCAAAGAAGAAAGTGACGTCAGGGCCAGGGAGGAAAACTGCATACAGTATTTTATTCATTCCCGATACGGCAAGAGATAACACCTGATCTTTGTTTGGGATAAGGGTTGGGGCAGAAATTGGGAAGATTCACTTCGGGAGTCCACAGGACAGCCCTGTTTGACTAGTTTCCTCCGCCCATGACCTTTACTCTAGTTGTCAATTCTTCCAACCACGATAAAAAAAAACCCGGGGGGGGGATGTCTAGAGGTCCGCAGCTGACGCGGGCAGCGTGACCTTTGCCCCGGTTTCCAGGGAAAGCCGATTAAAGGAGCGCCGGGCAGAGGGGCGCGGACACCCCGATGTGGCCCTGTTCAGTTCGGCCGATCTCCTCGACCTTCCTCCACTCATCCCCGCCCGGGGTTCCCTCTCACCAGGGCAGGACAGCCTGGCCAACAGCACCAACATGTTCCCTGTAACCAGGATCCTCGGTCCGACACGAAGGGAGGTCTGCCTGCGGCTCGCGGCGGGCGCAGGACCCTTAGGCCGCCGGGGGCGCCATCGCCAGCTCCAAAGCAGCAGCTCCTCTGCTGAAGTTTGCCTCCGGGCTCGACCGGGCGCTTTGGCTTCACGGCGTTACCGCCCTTCCTTGCTCTGCGCCGGCGCCGTGCGTGACGCGCGGCCCGCAGAGGCTTCCGGGTCAGACATCGGCGGAGGAAAGGAAGGGACTCCGAGTCCCGGCGCGCCCCGCGACCGCTGGGTTGACGGGCCTGCTTGCGCCTCACCAGGCGCGGGGAGCGCACCGCGGAGCCACAGAGCTACGCCGGCGCCGGAAGGCAGCGGGAGGCGGAGCGCACGGAGGCATCCTGGGAGTTAGCGCAGGAGCGCTGAGCAGCCCGTGGAGAATTTCCTCAAGTCTGATTGGCTGTCGCGAAAAAATGCACCTTCTCAGCGATCTCGGGCCGCAAAACCACACGGAGGCGAGAAGGGACATCGGGTCGGAGGAGGCGGGGCCTCGGGGCTCTGGGGGCTAGCGGTTCAAAGACGGTTGGCGGCGGTTCGACTGCCGAGGACCGGTCCGCAGTCTCCGCCCTGCTCATGGCGGACTCTGAAGAGACGCGGTTTTCGTCACCTCCTCCGCCGACCCCGTTCTCTCCCTCGTCTTCAGAAGCCTCTCCCGCATCTTACCCCGGCTTCCCAGTGAGTTTGGGCTGGTCGGTTCCGAGAACCAGGGGCGGCCGAACGGTGGGCGCCCTGGAGGAGGTGGAGCTGCAGATCGGAGACGTGAGTGCCTCCCTCCCGGGCCGGGAACGTCCGCCGGGGCGCTTGCAGGCGGCCACTCCGCCGTGGCCGGGCAGCGGGGCGTGGGGTCCGCGCACCCGCCGAGCGCGCCCCTCGCGTCTGGGCCTGAGGATGTGAGCTTGGGGACGCCAGTCCCGTCCCACACCGCTGATGATTTTGCCTTTAGGTTTAGTGCTGGGGAGTGAGGGTTATCCCTCACCCGCCCCACCCCTCACTGTTTGCTTTTTGCCTGGCCTTCTGGTTTCCATCACCCGCGGTAACCCGGAAACACGCTGCTCTGTTGCGCCGAAGTGTGCTGGCTCTGTCCGCTCCCTCGTCGTTCCCTCTTGCTGCTCAGGATCAGGCTGTGATTTCTTTCCTGGGGACTTAGGATCCCGCTGTCCTAGTTGGCTAGCTTCCCAGAGCCAGCTGATAGTGCTGTTGTCTGTCTCAGCCTCGCTTTGCGCTGGACCCATTTGGAGAGGTTATTCACCTTCCCTGTAGTCCAGATCGTTTTTTTTTTTTAAACTGTTTTAAGAGGCCCCTCCCTACCAATATAAAATGCACAGTCTGGATGGTTTCTGTTGAGTCTTAAATTTCCAGAAACTAGCGCACGTGGGCATAGTCACTCCACTACCAACCCCAGAGGGTCACAGTTTCAGTATATGAGACTTGTTTTACTGGGTTGAGTCAATGAGGTACGTGGGGTGTAATCATCTTGGGAGAACTTTGTGGAAACTTTCTCCTGTGCAGATTGGAAACTGGTGAATTTACTCAACAAGTTTTTTTTTTTTTAAAGACTCAATGCTTGATACAGCTTATGTTTTCCTGAACAAGACTGGTTTCAAGTGAATTTGTAAAATGGAGTGCTGTTGTGTCTTATAGCAACGGTGCTTTTTTTGTATAGTAGGTGAAGAAAATACTGGACTAAGAAGTGAGTTTTCCACCAAGAGTTGGATATTTTCTGCATGTTCGGTTTTGTTGATTTTTTTGTCAGTTCAAAGCATCTGTTCTTTGTCTTTATATTTTCATGGCCTGAAGTGTTTACTAGTAAAAACAGTGGAACAATGCCTCTGTTACCCAAATATAGTAAGAACTGTTTATGATGAAGTCCTTCAGATACTTGTACTTAGTGTCACAGGGTGGAAGTCGTCTTGTTGAGAGTATTTTCAACTGAAAAAAAAATTTACTTGTCATGCCTCACACATAGTGGATATCTTTCAGACCTAATTCTTATAAGCTTTTACTTCATATTGAAGAATTTCTTAGGTTATCTGAAAGAGTTGGGGTTTTAGTTTGTAAACATTTTACTTTTAAAGAACTAACTTGGGAGAAAAGGCTGAACCAGACTGCATACAGACCTCAGGAACAGAGCAGACCTCACGAAACAGGGCACCAGCTCTGCTCCCCTACGATGCCCAGCCTTACTCCAGGGGCTGAGCAGTTCCAGAGACTGGAGCTTCTGGGCACTAGACGGCACCACATAGAAATATGAAATGTTGAAAGAACCTGGTTCAGATCAAAATCTCACAAATCCCAGAAAAAGGGCCAAGTGAAACTGAACTCACCAATCTTGAAAGAGAGTTCAAAATAAAAGTCATAAACATGCTTATGGAGGTACAAAAAAATATTCAAGAACTCAGGAACAAATTTAAGATGGAGATTCAATCATTAAGAAATTCCATATCTGAAATGAAACATTCACTGGAGGGATTTAAAAGCAGATTAGATGTAGTAGAAGAGATGGTAAATGGAATAGAAATTAGAGAAGAGGAATACAAAGAAACTGGGGCACAGAGAGAAAAAAGAATCTCTAAGAATGAAAGAATATTGAGAGAAGTGTGTGACTAATCCAAACGGAACAATATTTGCATTATAGGGGTACCAGAAGAAGAATAGAGAGAAAAAGAGATAGAAAGTGACATTGAGGAGGTAATTGGAGAAAAATTCCCCAACTGGGGAAGGAGATAGTCTCTCAAGCCATTGAGGTGCACATATCTTCCAACACAAGGGATCCAAGAAAGACAACATCAAGACATATAATAATTAAAATGGCAAAGATCAAGGATAAAGACAAACTTTTAAAAGCAGCTAGAGAGAGAAAAAAGATCACATACAAAGGAAAAGCCATTGGGCTATCATCAGATTTCTCAACAGAAACCCTACAGGCCAGAAGAGAGTGGCATGATATATTTAATGCAATGAAGCAGAAAGGCCATGAACCAAGAATACGTTATCTGGCAAAATTATCATTTAAATTTGGGAGGGATTAAACAATTTCCAAATAAGCAAAAGCTGGTAGATTTTACCTTCCACAAACCACCTCTACAGTGCATTTTGGGGGGACTCCTATATATGGAAGCATTCCTAAGGCTAAATAGATGTCACCCAAGGGATAGACAAAGAGTACAGAATATGATTCATAATATACAAAGAATGGAGGAGGAAGAAAAAGGACAGGGAAAACAAAAAGAACCTTCAGGTTGTGTTTGTAATAGCATACGAAGTGAGTTAAATTAGATTGTTAGACAGTAAGCGAATTACCCTTGAACCTTTGGTAACCATTATTGCAATGGCAATAAGTACATACCCATTGATAATCACCCTAAATGTAAATGTCTGAATGCACCAATGAAAACCCATAGAGTCACTGAATGGATTAAAAAACAAGACCCGTCTATATGCTGCCTACAAGAGACTCACTTCAAACCCAGAGACAAACAGACTGAAAATAAAGAGATGGAAAAGATATTTCATGCAACTAACAGAGAAAAAAGCAGTAATTGCAGTATGTGTATCAGTCTTCAAAACAAAGAAAGTCACAAGAGACAAAAGAAGAACATTACATAATGATAAAAGGATCAGTCCAACAAGAGGATATAACTATTATAAATATCTATGCACCCAACACAGGATCACCTACATATGTGAAACAAATGCTAACAGAATTAAAGGGTGAAATAGAATGCAGTGCATTCATTTTAGGAGACTTCAACATAACACTCACTCCAAAGGACAGATCAACCAGACAGAAAATAAGTAAACAGACAGAAGCACTGAACAATGTATTAGAACAAATGAACCTAACAGACGTCTACAGAACACTTCATCCAAAAGCAACAGGTTACACAATCTTCTCAAGTGCACATGGAACATTTTCAAGAATAGATCATACACTAGGTCACAAAAAGAACCTCAATAAATTCAAAAAGATTGAAATTGTGCCAACCAGTTTCTCAGGTCACAAAGGTATGAAACTAGAAATATTATACCAAGAAAATGAAAAAGCCCACAAAACACATGGAGAGCCTTAATAACATGCTCCTAAATAATCAATGGATCAATGACCAAATAAAAACAGATTAAGCAATATATGGGGACAAATGACAACAATAATTCACCACAAAAGCTGTGGGACACAGTGAAGGCCGTGCTAAGAAGGAAATATATTGCAATACAGGCATACCTCAGGAAAGAAGACCAATCTCAAATGAACAGTCTAAACTCACAATTAATGAAACTAGAAAAGGAAGAACAAATGAGGCCCAAAGTCAGTAGAAGGAGGGACATAATAAAGATTAAAGCAGAAATAAATAAAATTGAGAAGAATAAAATGATAGAAAGAATCAATGAAAGCAGGAGCTGGTTCTTTTAGAAAATAAACAAAATAGATAAAACCCTAGCCAGACTTATCAAGAAAAAAAGAGAGTCTACACACATAAACAGAATCAGAAATGAGAAAGGAAAAATCACTTATGGACACCACAGAAATGCAAAGAATTATGAGAGAATACTATGAAAAAATACATGGAAACAAACTGGATAACCGAAAGAAATGGACAACTTTCTAGAAAAATACAACCTTCCAAGGCTGACCCAGGAAGAAACAGAAAATCTGAACAGACCAATTACCAGCAACAAAATAGAATTGGTAATCAAAAAACTCCCTAAGAACAAAACACCTGGACCAGATGGTTTCACCGCTGAATTTTATCAAACATTTAGTGAAGACCTAATACCCATCCTCCTTAAAGTTTTCCAAAAATTAGAAGAGGAGGGAATACTCCCAAATTCATTCTATGAGGCCAACATCACTCTAATACCAAAACCAGGCAAAGACACCACAATAAAAGAAAATTACAGACCAATATCCCTGATGAACATAAATGTGAAAATACTCAATGAAATATTAGCAAACCGAATTCAGAAATACATCAAAAAGATCATCCATATGATCAAGTGGGATTCATACCAGGGATGCAAGAATGGTACAACATTCAAAAATGCATTGACATCATCCAGTACATCAACAAAAAGAAGGACAAAAACCACATGATCATCTCCATAGATGTTGAAAAAGCATTTGACAAAATTGAACATCCATTCATGATAAAAACGCTCAA